GCAGGAAGTACTGCATTTTACTTTCATCGATTTGGTAACAAGCTTGCTTTGAATTGCGACTATGTTTTTATTCAGCGAACAAAAACCTTTCAAAGGCTGAACAACGATTTAGTAAGTAGTATTTCATTATTAATCGGAAAACATGGTCATCACTACAAACACGTGGATTGAATAAGGTAGAATAAGGAATAGGATGGAGAATATTTAGTGCCATTCTCGAGAACACCACGCAAAAAATGGAATGGAATAACGTGGGAGTGAAAGACAAGTGACGAAGGCCACTCGGTTATAGCTTTGGAATAACATCCTTTTGCAAGAGAAGCACTAACGAAACGGAGCAAGTGCTAGCCTATTTCGATAGTATCTCTGAAGCAAATCAGTTTCCGATTGAAATAACTCATCGGCGACAAACTGATCTCTTTGTGATGTTCACCTCCAAAAAGTGAAAAATCGACAGCTTCGCCTCACTGGCTATTGAGGAAGAAGTAGCTGATGCTGATGAGTTCTCCGTACTATACAAGTGAGAGATGGAGGCAAAAATTCTAAGTTCCGTTGAAGACCAGGAACGTTGCTATGCATGCCAACAAATCGAAAACCAGATTGGAAGGAGATGTGCTGGCAAGCCATAATTTGTGAAAACTACTGACCGTTAGCGACTTGGTTTCACGAAATGTTAAACAAACAGCACACCAATGTGACAGCAAGATTTGTTCAGTTAACTCCTGTGTGGAAAGTACAACGTTCTTCATACCTTTCATGGGAGCATATCATAGCAAATCTAACATGCCACAGATTTTACTGGTGAATGTTCGAGTCACTGAACGGTCAAAGGAGTGCATGCGCACAGGTGATGCACGTTGACTCCGTCTAAATTTTGCAATAATCTGAATGGGAGGCATTTGGGTTGGTGGTTAAGCTTACTACTTACAAATACCAATTTTGGAAGACCACTCCGTTAAACTCTGTGCTAAAAGTTCGAAGCCAAAGCCCAGTGAGCAATACGTTGTTAGCACGTCAAGGGTATCGAAATTCTCCACTAGTCACAACCTCAATTCTAGCTCGTAGCAAGGAAAAAGGAGCTTTGCAGGAGATTCCATTTATACGGCTTATTTAATGGCTAACCGGATTGCAGGTGGCACAATGGGTTGTATAGCACGCTATCTGAGAATAAACGCTAAAAGAACCTATTCCATCCACTGCAGAGTAGTCTGTCACTGATGGGATAGACAGCCTTGCATTGGTAACTAGCATTGGCTAATCCCTTTCTGTATAAAAGGTTAATACATTTACGTAGCGCTGCTTCATCCATTTGGTGCTCGACTCGTTTCGAAAGGATGCAGGTCTGAAGATAGTACGGCGAAAAATTCCGCATCAACATGAGGATTTCGCAATTTCACGCAAGTTTGTAAAAAAGACTGAGCTTCTCTATGGCCTCCAAAGTTAAATTCTGAAGAGATCTGAATACACTGCATGGGCGAAAGTGAAGAGTATTTTTTTTTGTCAAAAATGAAGAACAATAGATAGCATTCCATGCACGTTTAAATTCCACATATTCGGTGAAAACGTTGTTTGTGGCAATTAGTTAGGGAAAAACTTTCTCACATTTTCTCTACCGGATATTTTGTAAATTGATCGCAGTGAACGGGTGCGGCAGTGATAGGAGGTGTCCTGCAACTGACATGTGGGATCGGTCCCCGCGGCCATGGCTCAACAAGCCTTCCATCCCTCCGGGGTCAGCAAATTGGTACCAGACTTATCTGAGAGGATAGTGGCACTAAGTCGATACATCAGTAGGCCACTGCGAGTCATTGTAAAGGCCAGATCTGCATTTAATCACCTCCAAACGATGCTTAATGAAGTCGAATGCATGGCGCATCCCTTGCAGATTGATCAACGCTGAAAGCTTCATCCTCGGTTGTTTAATTGCAGTGCTGTATTTTGGCTACAAATCACATAATACGGTATTAGTTGGGGAAGAACTTTAAAATATAATTTGTTGTTTGCTTCGGCATTAATGGAAGATTTTGTTTTGTCAACTAATCATCATAAGGATTAAATCTAGGGATAGTGGTGATGACACTGGTTTTATAGTGTGGCCTCGACTAGATTACAATGGTTGTTGCAAAAGGAACACCACCTCCCATTGTAACAAAGCTTTTCCAATGCAGATTAGCTTTTAGGTACCAGTCTTTTCTATAACACGGTAAATGCAAAAGCTAAAGGATAAAGCCCTTGGCGTTGATTAATCCCTAAAGGATGCACTATACATCCAACTTCATTAAGCATCGTTGGAGGTTATTGAATGCATATCTGGCCTTTACAATAACTCGCGGTGGTCCACCGATGTATCGAGCCAGTGCCGCTTTGCTCCCAGAAAAGTCTGGTACCAATTTGCCGGCCCCGGAGGGATGGAAGGTTTGTTGAGCTATAGATGCGGAGACCGATCCCGCGTGTGCGTCGCAGGACCCCTCCGACCGCTGCGCCACACGCACCTCTTAGGTAGAGGGTATTAGCTTGAATAGGAGAATTTTGAGAATCTCAGAATAGATAGATAAAGATTTTTCCAAATCGTTTTAGGTTAACAAGTAGTTTCCAGCTACGTTAGTTAGACGTGCACACCAACATTATAGAAAACGTAGAACAAATTATTACAGAGATGTCGAACGAGAATCGATTTATTAAGGCAAAAGGTTCGTCGTTATACATTTTTACAACGAATAGATTAAAGGAACAAATAGCTACAACTTTATGATTGCCGTTTGACAATTATTAGCAACAATTTTGAAGGCATTAAAGTTGCAAGAAGGATGTTTACTGAGAAACGTCACGTAGATGGATCACATTTGTTCATCTTCAAGTTGTACATGTGCTAACAAGCGTAAGTACCGGATATGGTGGATAAGGAAATTCAGGTCAGTGAAGAATCAGCATCAGAAAAGTGCGATGAGGGTCTAATCGATCGGGATGGCTTCTGTTAAAAAATTAGCAAAAGTTTAAATAAACATATCAAGAGAGGGGATATCCAAATTTTACTATATCCAACAGTAGACACCAAGACAAGCAGAGTAGGGGCCTTAAAGCCAAGAACCACTCCCATGATAACTTTTCGAAAAACGTTGTATTGCGTCCTAACTGGAAGCCTTGTCATAGAATGTCAAGACTTGTTGTTTATTTGTACTAGTCGCATGTTACTTAGGTATCATTGTTGTTCTCCTCTATTCATTGCCTACAACCGTCATCTACGAAGGTATTCCATTCATATGTTTCTCTCACAGACGTCACTGAGAGAGTTGATTGTATTTAGGTGTGGGTTCGATTGTAACTTGAGGAACCGCAATCTTTTCCTTTCGCCAACATGTAGACAGCCGATAGTGCATGACTTTCTCTGAAATACTAGGTAGTCTTGATAGGTGTTCACAGGTTTGACCATACGCTGTCGTCGGCCTTTATGGATACATATTTTCTACCTTGTTAGTCGAACCGTTCTATAATTTATTCCTTTTCTCTGTTACAGAATAGAAGCACCTCTGTGACAGCAGTGAGTGCTGTAATTAGTCTTTCGAGGACAACGTAACTGACCGAACTGAATGATTTCAAAATGCAATCATAACGATGTCGACACATGAGCAAAAGTCGGATCCTAAGGTTGACGCTGCATCCGTGATTACACTTGGATGAGAAGAAGGTAAAGCAAGGACCTGGGTTGATGCGGTGGATAGCACACGAGCGCTCGTTAAGGGTAGTTTCTGGTTCGAAGCCCCGCATCGCATGCTGCCATGAAAAAAGAATATGCGGTAAGTAAACGTTAAAACATCGCGATTTTAAAGCGTTTTACCGAGAAAAAGCCTCACATAACTATACAGCGAAGTGTTCTTTAGATTTCCTAGCTTTTTTCAATGCATAAACAAGCGAAAACACATTCTGCATTGCTTTCAAATACATTAAATGGTCCATAAATGCTATGCACTGAACGGTGAAACTTATCGTTATAGGAATATCAATGGATTTGTCACTTGCGTAGTAATAAACTTGAGAAACGTGGCCCGAGGCATACGCAATAATACAGCAGTGGCAAAGCGAAAAACGAATGATATCTATATGGTTCGCCATCCTAGAGCGCTCGTACGAATGATTGCAGGAATCTCCGTGTTCTCAGAAATAGTTTTGTCCAAAAAATCCAATTCGAAGGGCAGTAAACGGTGAGCAGTGCTGCGTGAGGTTGCCTCATGCGAGTGGTGTTCCAGCAAAGACGATCCGACTCTATACGCGACGAAGTGGACTCGGATCACGTTAGCCAACAAAGTTGCTTATCAACCTTGTGTTAGCTTAATAATCCAAGAAAGTACCGATTATTAATGTCCAAGTTAAACATAGGTCTGTTCGAAGAAAAGTGATTTATAGTAAAAGAGCTCCAAACTCTCAATGTTGCTATACCAGGGTTTGAGGCAAAATCATAACTTATCAGTGCTCTTTATTTCAATGAGGATAGAAGGTGACACTGCCTCAAATTGTATTCGACGTTGGGCTCAAATCCGACCAATTCTAGTAATGATGCAGTAAGAGAGAAGTGTAGAAGTGCTGGCGCCCGTAGAAACATGTGAAGAAGGGTCGTATAACTATATTAATGTAAGTGACATCACATACAAGCATTAAAAAATAACGGAGCAATGATTGAAGTGCAGGAGAGCTTTTGGTTCTTTAGGCTCAAATATGAAAAGGAAAACCTATGGTTGAGGCAAGAAAAGACTTAAAGTAACAACAAGTGGAATAAATATAAAAGGTCTAAAGCATGCAAGACTTTTGTAGTTTCAAAGAAGTAATGTTTATCATGATAAAAAGCTGCACAAATGTGGATGGCGTTAAGCCATTTACCCATAATCTGAAAATATCACCCCCAGCTGTAACGTTTCACGTCCTGACTGCAACGATAATACTGATTTGAACTGGGTCATCGTCATCCAATCATCTATTTTTGTCCCTTAAACCGTCTCCTGAATTTTTCAAGCTCCATTCTCACAATATGGGTAGCACTCTCCGACGTCGGGCATGGAAATGTACACGAGGGACCTCGCCTCGACTGGGTACGTTATTCCGGAATGCCTCTCAAACGCTGCCAGTTCTTTCCTGAAGAAATCAATACATTCTGGATTTTTTTGATGGAATTTCTAATTCATTAAAGCAACCTAATGACGGAGGAGTTCACATGCTTTTCAGGAATCCAATTCCATCCCTCGAACCCGACTCCACATTTGGAAGGGTCAAGATTGTTCTTAAATGGGCTCTCCCATCCTTCATCACCCACTTTTTGCAACTTCCAGCCGTGCAACATGAAGTCTGCATTACTCCATCTCAAAATAAATCATCGTTAATAACCCACGCATACCATTCGGTTAAAGCTACAACTCACCTGTCATTAGTGAGGAAACCGTCGCGAACCCAGCCATGTGCTCTTCTATAGATTCTCACTTTACCTGGCCAAACCCTTGTCGCGCCCAACATTTGTTTGACACAAGAGACATATCTCAGATAGGATTCGTAACCAGTGGAATTGCGCCACACTTTGTCGCAGTTTTTTGCCTCATGCCAAGCGTCTGGCATCACGGTCTTCAAAATAAGCAGCTGAAAGTGAGGGAACGTAAGACAAATATGCTAATTTTTTGTAAAATTATAAGGAGAAATGTTGTGTTAAACTTATATGCGGAATCGAATACTATCGAAGAACGGTAATTAAGACTAGCTAAAATTGTTACCAAGGTTTTACAGGAGAATGGAAGCAAAGCACTGAGGTGATATGTAGCAGAGCCACTTCAAGTCATTTTACGTCTTTTTATAGGCAGAATTTGCATCTGGTCATCTAAGTGCTCAATCAAATGGAATGGAACGCTCATCATGAGAGAATTTATGAACACCGAACTCTCTATCTCTGACTTCTAGGCTATACTGAGTGAGGACACCTCACTATTATCTATTACGGTCTTCTCAACCAAGTGGGTGCTCTTTAGGACCAGCGACGTATTAGTCCTCTATTCTCCCATGCAGTCTGGTAGCAACTTTTCAACTATGAAGGCGTGGAGAATTAGCTGGAACAGGTCGTGGGATGCAAAGGCGATGTCGATGTGCATAGCGCCTCTAATCAGTGTGCTACAAGCACGCCAATGTCTTCTATGTCCTATGATTTAAAGCGTTAGAGAAAGTGATAGCAATTGCGTTATGAAGCTAGGTTATCAAAAACTGGAGCACCTGTAGCACTCCGTTATCTGCGCCGTTCCAATTTAACGGTTGACTAAATTCGTACTCTCCCCATGATTTCAGAAAGTTGGTTCCGAATTCAGTGTTTCTCACCTAAAAATGTGAACAAAGCTACACAACAAACGAAATTCTCCGCAAGTGTTTTACCAAGTAGTTGCCACTAGCTATTTCCCAGTTGAAGAACCTTTCGTAGAAAATTATGTCGACTCGATCATCTATCCACTCCTCGATACAGTGATTCGGATTCACGACACCTTAAAGAATACGCCAATCAGAAGTGCTAGAGAAAAGTTGAAAAAATGGTCTTCAGTCAGTGTCGGTGGAATCTAAGGATAAACGAACCAGTATCGGCGTCCAGAACGAGCATCCAATCTGTGTCCGCTAAGTATGCAGCAGCTGCACAGTGTTTTTTAAAGAACAGCTGAATAAAGTTATACTTGTTCGTCATACAATTCCTCGACTCACTTTTCAGTCTGTTGCTTTAAAAGATGTTTTATCGCTTTGTTTACAGTTCGCACCGCCTTTCGACTGTACGTTAATTGCAGCGGTAGTGAAATCTCCTTCTCAAAGATTTAGTCCCTCACAACAGCTGGGAGGAGACCTCGATTTTTGAACTGCGACGAAATCGCAAAGAAATGACTTTCGTCGTAGATTCAGCCTTTGTCCGTCTTAATGACAAAGAGGAGGTCAAGCTGCTTCGTCAAAGCATTAACAATCAGAAGAATGTGGGCTCTACTGTCTGCTAATGTCGATGGTGGATGAACAGACAATCACTGTATTCTATGGAGAACTATGTCGTCTATGAAAAACTTACTTGGCACTTGATCTTAAATGGCCCGCCCTCACTGGTTGTGCGGGCCCTAGCATAATCTCCATTTTTCGGAGGTTTGCTGGCTAAGCTATTACGGTTCCCTGGAGTACCGAGGCCAACTTGGCCAAAGTCTGCCCCAGGTTTTCACCACCAAAGGCAGTCGCGGCCCTTGTGGATCACAGAGAGATTTACCACCATAAGACTTTGATACCAGGACGGTGGTGGATCCTGGTATTGGTTTACTCTTAGCTAGGCTTCCTGATGGAAACACCGGACTCCTCAGTTTGGGAGACCCTGGCAGGGAGACGAATCCCCCCGCTGTACATCGCAGTCAGACACCCAGAAACACCTCCCAGCCACGGTGAGGCGGTAAGCCGTTGGGAGCGTCCATGAAAAAATCCTCTAATAAATTGAAGTAGAGTGGTAGAATTGAATTAGAACGAAAAAGTCGTAGTGGTTACGTGCGTTAAACGTGGAGCAACAGCAACCTTACACTTGAGCTTAGAACCAGGTAGAGACAAAAATGTACTCTTCAGGACTTCGCCTGAGCATTAACGGGAGTTAAGGTGATACAGAGGGTCAAGAAACTCGTTCAATAAAGCAGAACAAATGAAATATACTCAAAGGTAATTCAAAAACATCATTGATGACATTCTAGGATAAACGCTTCTTCATAAAAGCTATAAGGATGTACCGAAAACTAGTTGCACAGGTTTTGTATCCAATAGACGAAAAACGTTCCGACAAGATGTCCTACTAATTAGCACGATTACCTGTTGATTTCTTGCGCATCGTTCCTTCACACGGGTGTCCTCATTCAGCTCCACCATCAGCACCGTGTAATTCACTCCTCTAAGATAGCACTCGAGTGACTGCTGAGCAACTTGGTAGTGCCTGAATAACCTATCTCTTATCGGCTGCTTACACTGCTACATATTTTTTGTAGCTGTACTTTTGGACATTTATGCAATCGGAAGAAATATTGAAACGTTCCCTTCATAATGCGTACATTCATATCTGAAGTCTTGCTCAGTTCTTCATATTATCAAGCAAGGAATGGAATGACGAACTGCAGTGGGAGGAACAATGGTATCACCTTCCAAAAAATCTTTACCTGTGGTGTTTCTAAAACTTGAAAAGAATAACGAAAAAAGAACTAACGTTTCCATGGAACTCTTCACGTAGGCGACAAAAACAGTAACTTCTCCAAAGAGCGGACGACATCGGCCCATATCTTTTCGCGGCTCGTAGTGTGTCTGGCGGCTAAACCGTAGTTTCTGTTAGAGTAAAATTAACGCATACTTCATAAACATTTCTAATCTTACTTACTAGCCAGGGTTGTAGTTTGAGTCGTTACGTTGATATCGATCGTCCGCAATGACCTTCTAACAGTAGAGTGTTAAGAAAAAGAATCCGCGCCATTAAATAAAGGTTTGGTAATGGATGCTCCGCAAACTCTGCGACAGCTTTTACGCCAATGTTTTGAAAACTCCGGAAAGGCCTCTTTGATTCGACGAATCTGCTTAATCATCCCCGAATGATGATTCAAGTTTACGGTCTCTCCGCCGCTTAGCACTCACAAACCAGGTGTCTGCGGTGGTGATCGAACGCGCTATCACCCTTTCTGAGGGTTAAGTTAGCATTGCAATTTCGACTACAGCCTCAACCTAATTGGATTCAATTTTTTTTTGCCACCCATATCCCGCTGACGGGTGAGTGCTGATGGCACGGGTATATAGAAAACTAGTTGAGAAGAAAGCGAAACGAAGGACTCATATGGTGTGGTGTGAGCACTTTAGTCACCGTATAAGGTAATACTTACTTACTTATTCGACACTTGAACGGCCCGTCTTCACTGGTTGTGTTGGCCTCAGCGTAACCACCATACCATTTTCCAGAGATTTGTTGGTTTAGCCTTTGTGCTTCCCTGGAATCCCGAGGTCAGCCTGGTCAAAGTCTGCCTCAAGTCGTCACCACCACAGGCAGTCGCCGTCCTTGTGGATCAGAGAGAGATTTGCCACCATGCGCCTTTGATACCAGGACGGTGGCGGATCCTGGTATTGGTTTACTCTTAGCTAGGCTTCTTGATGGAAACGCCAAACTCCTTCTCAGCTTGGGAGACCTTACCAGGAGATCAATCCCCCACTGTACATCGCAGTCCGACCACCATGAACACATCCCAGCCACGATGAGGCAGTAAACCGTTGGAGTATAAGGTAATAACGGGCTCGATCTACAGCACAGACACCTGTGCGCTGGAGTTGCGCAAGAATCCCAGGTTCACTCCGGACAGCACTGCGACTGGTAACTTATAATAATACTACACTGATGTAATAGTTATATAACACGAATATTAATAATTTAAACTTGTAGTATAAATTTTCAATAACAAAACAGTTAATATGTATTCTTTCTTTGATGAGCTTACACGAAGTTGATAATGATGTTTATTTTCGGCTAACGTTTCGACGTCTTCGTCTTCCTCAGAGCCGATGATCCCAGCCGATGGTCCTCGCTTGTTATTCGCCTCGACGTGGCAGCTTCGCTTTCGTGTCGAGTTAGGTCTTCTTCAGTGAGCCATCTCCTCGAATGAGGCATCCTTACTCAGTGATGCCCTTTTATACACGATGCTGATGGTCGATATAATAATAATGTCCGGTGATAACAACTTGTTTTTTTCTCCGGACATACATCATTGCTTCGTATTTTTGTTGAGCAAACGCGAGGTGTTATTATTCTTTGTTCACGAATAAGCTGACGTTTCGGCGGATTTCGCCTACCTCAGAGCCTGGAAAGGTCAAGTTGATAGCAATCTACTCGGCCAGACGCCTCCATAACCAAAGAAAGAAACCCCAAACCAAGATTTCAATCACTTTGAACACAGCTTTGCACACTCACCGCTTCCTATGAGGTTTCCACTAAGTATGTCACGTAGAGACCAACCGCACAGAAATCACGTGGAAATATAATGTTCCCCTCCTGTTAGAAAAGCAGTTTTATATACTGCCCTATATCACGCGTGATAATGAGGTATTCTTCCCTGCGGTTCATTTTCGGATTTCTGGAATTAATCCAGAGTGGCTCTAGAGTTTTTCGCGCCTGTGTTCTGGATTCGCGTGCGAGGATCGTGACACATACTTCGAAGTCGTCCCCGTTATGTCTCTGGGTCCTATGCGTGCCTAGCGGGGTATTTGGTCTATTTTTGCCGGCTAGGTGTTCTTTTATACGTACGCAGAGTGGTCTACCCGTTTTGCCAATGTATTCGTCACCACACGTCTTACAGGAGATCAGATAAACTATACCCGAGCTCATGCAATCACCGTCTCTACCACTGGGGTAAATTATGCAATCTTGAGTTGCACATAGACGGTCATATAGGCAGNTCTTTCATGCGGACACAGAGGGGTCTACCCGTTTCGCCAATGTATTCGTCACCACACGTCTCACAGGAGATCAGATAAACTATACCCGAGCTCATGCAATCACCGTCTCTACCACTGGGGTAAATTATGCAATCTTGAGTTGCACATAGACGGTCATATAGGCAGTTACGAACTAGCTGGCGCTTAAGATTACTCGGTGGTATTTCTACGTTTACCGAATTCTCTAAACCCGCCCTTCTTAAGCAGAGTTTTATAGCTGTACAACATTTGAGATGAAGGATAGGATAAACGGGACCTTTCTTTCGCTAGAGTTGTCGTTTGGAAGCCTAGGATTTCCCCTACACCTATCCTGAGCTGCGGTTTCGTAGCCATTAGGAATGGCTATTTGCCGCACCAAGGCCAAGTTCCGGGACTCCTCTCTCTGCTCTCTTCCCGTGCACACGTTGGTTGCCGTTCGAAACATGTTTTTTATAAGCGCCCTTTTCGTGTGAGAGGGGTGAGAGAAGAGGTAATGAACCAAGATGTTTTTACTACTTGGCTTTCGGTACCATTTTGTAATGTAGCCATTTTTTGATAGGTGAATTTGTACGTTCAAAAATGGAAGCCATTTTTCTTTCGGCTTTTCTCGGGTGAACTTGATATACTCTGACTGTGCGTTTAACAATTCGAAGCATTTGTCCATTTCCTCATGTGTTGAGCAAAGGACAAAGCAGTCGTCTACATACCTACAGTAGAGTAGCGGCCCGAGATCAGTCACCGGTGCTTCCACCTTAGACATAAATGCAATGGCAAGGCTTGGAGCCAGTCGTTGCCCCATTGCCAACCCTCTTATTTGAGCGTAGTACTTTCCAGACCATCTGAAGATTGAGCAGCTCATGCATTCTTTTGAGAGTGCCATCAGGTGCTCTATCCTGAAGCCATACATGTTTATTTCTCCTTCGCGTTGTGTAAGGAGCTCGAATATGGCTTGCATTGCGGAGTCATTCGACACGTTTGTATAAAGGGCGGTAACGTCGAAGGACTCCATCACGCACGCGCTGTTGGGCTGCGCAGTACGTAGACGATCCAGCAACATCTGGGTATTCGTGAGGTAGGATGGAATGTGTTTCAACAACTGGTTAAATATTAGGGTTAAAAACCATGTTATCCTGTCCGTTGGCCCGTTTATGCAGCTAATGATAGGTCTAACCTTAAATAGTGATGGATCGGTAGACGCAAGATCACCGCTGGATACTAACTTATGAGTTTTTATAAGTAAGTACAAGACGGGGCATGTTTGTAAGGCAACTTTAAGTTGAGAGATAACTGATGGTTTCAAACCAGCAGCCCTTGCTATTTTGGCCCATTCGTGGTTTAGTTTTCGGTATTTACTTTTGAATTCCTCCTCAGATGATGGGCGATAAAGCGAAGCATCTTCAAGATGCTTTTTCGTTATCTCCACATCCAACTGATGAGGAATTACGACAAACTCTCCACCCTTATCACTAACGGAAAGTCTTATGGTTTTCAACCTTATCAGCTCTCGTACCTCTCGCATACCACCTCTTTGCACTGGAGTGAGGTTTGAGCTGTATCTTTTCGCGCGATAGTGATTAAGGACTTTGAGAGTTTCATTCGCAAACATCCGAAATTTAACATCAACTTCATCATTGGGCTCTTGTTGTCTAAAGAACGTCGAGTGATTGCGTCATTGCGTCATACATCATTGCGCACATCGAGGACCATCGACTCGGATCATCGGCTCTGAGGAAGACGAAGACGTCGAAACGTTAGCCGAAAATAAACATCATTATCAACCTCGTGTAAGCTCATCAAGGAAAGAATACATATTGATTAGTGATACCGTAGTTCAGGGGAAGTCGGTTTCGAAACAAAGCAGTTAGTTGAGTATCAATTTCAACACTGTCAAACTCAGTGTTCATCAGGAAAAATGTAACTTTAACGAAAATTGAAGCAGACAACGATAACACAAAATCCTATCAGAGAAAAAATGAAAGCAATGTGGATTTCATAGCCGATTTGAGCCCCTAGATCAATCTCATTGACGGGTGATTGCTGATGGCACTGATCGAAAGAACTAGCCGAGAGACAGGCAAAACGAATACCCGCATGGTGTGGTGGTGAATGCGTTAGCTCCGGAAAGGGTAATAGTGCGTTCGCTACCCACCGCAGACATCTACGGTCTGGAGTTTTGCAAATATCTCAGCATCAGTGTGGTTTTGTGACATACTTACCCTGCCGTGAAAAACTGTAATAGGCAGCAAATAGAAAGTTAACATTGAAATGTGAATTGTTCATTAGAATTTTCGACAAAATGCAAACGAGCGTGGTTGCAGCAAGGGGTGCCAAGATAGGAAACCTTGTTTCGCTTCTATTATCTGTTCCCACGACCGACCTTCTATTAACCTCGGTGTTAATCAAATGGTTTCCGACATTCTTGTTGAGCAAACACGAGGTGTTACTTTATTCGTTATTCCGTTAAAGCTGTCGCTTCGGTAGTACTTTCTTCAGAGCCCGGAAAGGTGATGAAGGCGATACTGCCGAAGTGTCAGCTTTAAGGTAATAAAGAATAAAGTAACACCTCGTGTTTGCTCAACGAGAGTATCGAGATCTATTATCTATTCTGAAACTTTAACACAAGACGTCTATCGAAGTCTTGTTTTGTACTACTAATGAAACAAAAGGACATAAAACTAGTTACAGTAGGAAGCTTTCGGAAAACAACTATTAGAAATCACGTGTAATAACTAAACCTGAGCGTATTCCGTCATAGATACTGGAGTCCATCTATGATGCGTGCGAGATGGTGAGAGACAAATTATATACACGATTACTACGAGGCCACCGAC